CGTTATATATATATATATATATATATATATATATATATATATATATATATATATATATATATATATCTGTACCACTGTTTTATTAACTTCTAAAACAAATGTAATTTCTTTCAGACCAATATTTGTAGAAAATCATAATATGTTCGAGGATTGTGACACCGGATTCTGGGTAGTAATAGTAACAGTGTTGGTAATAGTATATAAACATAGAAGTTATTTACTTACTTCCGCATTTAATATTACTTGTTTTAGCTTGTTGCTTTGTTTATCACAGAAATGAAAAAGAAAATTGGTTAATTTAAAATCTAACGTTGGCTTGCCTAGCAAGTGTGATGTTAAGCGTCATCACGGTCCCAATGGTGGGGCATCCGGGTCGTGACATGAAATTTGCTTTACTTTTTCCAGTTGCTACGGCTACGGTTGAAGGAGCTTTCTCAGCAATGAAGTTGATTAAGTCTGACTTACGAAATCGAATGGATGATGAGCTTTTGAGTGGTTGTTTAGTCGTCTTATATAAAGAAAAGAAGTTATTATAATTNTACTATGGAGCTATATAGAATACTATTAACAAATAACGAAACTTGCGAGATCGTGGAGCGAAGTCAACTACGAGGGTTAGTAAGGNNCTTAGTGTTTTGTTAATATAATTTAAGTTATCTTTTTATAATATATATATATATATATATATATATATATATATATATATATATATATACATACTATACTAATATTTTATTCAATTGTTCACTCTTTTAAATAGTGGCACTGATTATATAAAATCTTGGCGTACGCCACTGTATTCTGGTGGTGGTAACACTAGTTACAAAACTAGGACCAATTACAGCTATGGAAGGTCTGCATTTCAGTGTGACTACTGTAAGCTCAAAGGTCACACAAGGGAAAACTGCTACAATTTGCATGGATATCCAGCTGATTTCAAATACAGGAAGAAGGGAGGCACTCCAAATACTTATGCTAACAATATGTGTGGTGCAAGAAATTAGGGATCTGAAGCTCAAGGATCATCCCAGCAAACAACACCTATCTCTAATACAACACCACCAGCTCCAGTTAATTCTTTACTTCAGAGCAATACAATCAAATTCTGCAAATGCTGAACAAAGGAAAAGAAGGAGAACATATGGCTAATACAGCTCAGATGGGAACAACAGGTATTCCTACTGCCCTAATGTCTAATCCAGGAGACCATAACTGGATAGTAGACACATGGGCTACAAATCATATGGTACATCAGCTAGGTTTGCTTCATAAATTCAAAGTATTGTCACAAATGAGTAAGAATAAGGTACACTTACTTACTGGAGAGCAAGTTACTATCACTAAGACAAGAGAATCTCATATATTTCAGGACAAGACAATTGGAGAAGTACTATATATACCTGAATTCAAATACAACCTATTATCAGTATCAAAGATCACCAAGGAGTTACAATGCTGTGCGGCATTCTTTCCTGATTTCTGTGTATTTCAGGAACTCTCAAGTGGGAAGGTGATAGGGATTGGTAGAGAAGAGGATGACCTTTATATTATGAGGAACAAAGGAAACTCAAATTCACAGCAAGTCTCTCAGAATAAGAATGTCATCAATCAGTTATCTGTAAATACCATTTCCAGTTCAATCAGTGAAGATAATTCCAAGAATAAGACTAAGACTATTGATCTATATATTTGGCATAGAAGACTAGGACATGCTCCTTTAAGAGTGTTGAAAAATATAGAAAGCTTGTGTAACTCTCAGCTAAAGAATCACATATGCTCTGTATGTCCTATTGCTAAACAAGCAAGACTACCCTTTCTTCTAAGCACTACTTGTTCTGTTAAGTCTTTTGATCTTGTGCATGTTGATGTATGGGGTCCTTATAAGGTTCCAACTCATGATGGTAAGAGATATTTTTTGACTCTAGTAGATGATTTCTCTAGATATACATGGCTCTTCCTAATGCCTACTAAAATAGATTCTATTGTGGTGCTAAGGAACTTCCTAATATATGTCAAAACTCAATTTGCCTGTGGAGTGGAATGTCTTACAACAGATAATGGTTCAGAATTCTTCAATGATCAGGTGAACAATTTACTCAAAGAGTATGGTATTGTACACCAAAGCTCTTGTGTGTATACACCGCAACAAAATGGTGTTGTAGAAATGAGACATAGATATATTCTAGACATGGCAAGAGCTTTAAGGTTTCAAGCATTTGTGACTTTGAGATTTTGGGGAGAGTGTGTATCCAGCTGTATACTTACTCAACAGATTGCCCATTATGTTATTGAAAGGTCAGTCACCTTTCCAGAAGTTGTTCCACAAAGCTCCTTCAGTACAACATCTCAGGGTATTTGGTAGTCTGTGCTATGCTACCACTGTAAAAAAGGGTGATAAATTTAGTCCAAGAGCAATTCTAGCAATTCATCTTGGATATTCCACAACTCAGAAGGGCTATTATCTCTATGATATGACCTCTAAGGAGTTCTTTGTAAGTAGAGACATTGTCTTTCAAGAAGACATTTTTCCCGTCAAGAATATGAGCACTGGTCTTTCTCCTATGTTCCCTGTGCTGCAACTAGTTGAACCTGATCCTCCTGCTGTGTCGGCTCCATTTCATTCACCTTCAACCTCTACTTCTGATCGTGATGCCTCCCAGCTTTCCCCATCATCTACTGTCAGGGATCCTTCTTCTCAGCCAGTACAACTTAGAAGATCCTCAAAGGAATCTAGACTACCTGTCTGGATGAGAGATTATGTTGTCCAACAGAAGTCCTCATGTCCATATCCACTATCCAACTATGTGGTGTATGACCACCTCACTCCTGCCTACAGGTCTTCATTAGTTGCTTATTCAGCAATTGCAGAACCCAAGACCTATGCAAGCCAGTATCAATCCACTGTGGGTGGATGCTATGAAGTCTAAGATTTTAGCTCTTGAGAGCAATAATACTTGGACAATTTAGACCTTCCTCCAGACAAAGTTCTTATAGGTTGCAAGTGGGTGTTTAGGGTTAAGTACAAATCCACAGGAGATGGGGAGATATATAAAGCAAGGCTAGTAGCCAAAGGCTACAGCCAGCAAGAAGGTTTGGACTACACTGAACCCTTCTCACCTGTAGCTAAGATGGTCACAATGAGGCCTATAGTGGCTCTTGTTGCTGCTTCACACTGGTTTGTGTTTTCAAATGGATGTTCACAATGCATTTCTGTAGGGTGATCTATGTGAAGAAGTTTATATGCAAATTCCTGATGGCTTTTCAAGCCAGGGGGAGTATCAGAAAGTGTGCAAGTTAAATAAGTCCTTGTATGGACTTAAACAAGCCCCTAGACAGTGGAACTTAAAATTGACAGAAGCATTGACATATCTAGTATTTATACAGTCACACTATGACTATTCTTTGTTCACACACAAGAAGGGAGAAGATTTGGTGATTGTGCTTGTCTATGTTGATGATTTGTTAGTGACTGACAATCTAAACCTGATTGAGAAGGACAGAAAGGACTTGCAGAGCAGGTTTAAGATGAAAGACTTAGGGGAACTGAAGTACTTCCTTGGCATAGAGTTTTCAAGATCAGAGAAAGGCATTCATATGTGCCGGAGGAAGTATGCACTTGAGTTATTATCTGAGACTGGTCTATCAGGAGGAAAACCAGCACTCACTCTACTGGAATTCAATCACAAACTTACCTCCATAGATTTTGATAAGGTGTTCAACAAGGAGAACTTGTCTGATGACATGCTACTTGAAGACAGAAGTGGTTATCGAAGAATAGTGGGAAGATTGTTGAATTTGACCATAACTAGACTTGACATAGCCTTTGTGGTACAGGTTCTAAGTCAGTTCATGCATGCTCCCAAGCAATCACATCTAGATGCTTCTATGAGAGTGCTCAGCTTCGTTAAAGGTAATCCTAGTCTTGGGCTGTTCCTACCATCAAATGGCACTCAAAAGTTAGTTGCCTTTTGTGATTCAAATTGAGGTGCTTGTGCAGAGACAACAAAGTCAATCACAGGTTATGCTGTGAAGTTTGGTGATGCCTTAATCTCCTGGAAATCAAAGAAGCAAGGAACACTTTCAAGAAGCTCAGCTGAGGCAGAGTTCAGAAGCATGGCCACTACTGTTGCACAGATAAAATGGTTAGTTAGATTATTTGAGGAGTTGGTGTATCAGTTGAGTTTCAGTTCAACTTACTGTGATAGCAAAGCTGCAATTCAAATTGCAGCTCATCCTATTTTTCATGAAAGAACCAAACACATAGATATCGACTGTCACTTTGTAAGGGAAAAAATTCAAGAAGGAATGATCAAAACTCAGCATATTGGTACAAGAGAGCAACTGACAAATATCTTTACCAAGAGTCTATGCAGTCCACAACATGATTACTTAGTTTGCAAGCTGGGAATGAAAAACTTGTTTTCATCCCTTAGCTTGAGGGGGAGTGTAGAAGGAATAGATGTGGGGTCCGGTAGTTAATTTAATATAGTGTAATTAGGTGAAGTTAGTTGATAAAGTAGGTTAGTTAATCAGCTGTATAAATAGGATTTAATTACATGTGTACAGTAGCCCTTAGAATTAGTTAGAACATTTTATCTAATACACTTAATGGAGCTTCTTCTTCTCCATCGACTTCCTTCCTCTTCTGCCATGGCTGATTTGTTCAATAAGTATATTATACGAAAAAAATAAAGATTCAATAGAAGGACATCTTTCTAGCTGAAGCTCTGATTTTAAATGGGAAATAAAGAAAGATTCAAAAGAGGAACACGTTTCTAACTTAAGCTCTTTAAAGAACTGCCCAGTTTCAAACAGTTAACCTAATTATGGAAGGGAAAGTAAAAGAGAAGACGTAAACATATATTAGTGAAATGCAAAAGAAACTGTGGATTTTCTGGTGGAACATAGCAGTCCTCGTTGACTCTTGCTACTCCTCATTTTCCTCAAAAGAAAAATTCCGCTACTCATTATCACTGCAAATAAGATAATACTATTAAGCAATATGACAATTACCAATTAACATAGAGCAAGTAAAATTCACTCATCAGCTCTTACATTATTTTTGACGTAACTGATTGTAAGTTGTAGCAACTAATATGACTTTGCGTATAACTTTGTGCCTTTGTCCTTGTCCTTTTTCTTCTTCATGTTTTACCTTCGTCAAAAGTCAAAAGTATTACTTAGTTCCTCCGTCCCATTTTAAATGTCGTTTTAGCTCTTTTCACTTTCATTACGAAAAATAATAAATACAAAATATAGCTTACTAAGTTACCCCTATTAAATATTTTTTGAGAATTGAATAGTATTAAAGAAAACTACTACTCCTTCACTATTAAGGGTATAATTGGAAACAACCATCAAATTTAGTTTTGAAATTATGTAGTGACAATTATTTTTTGAGCTAGAACGCCACTTCAAATGGGATGGAGGAAGTATTTCTTCAACAGATGAACATCCATTGGCTACTTGTCACTAGGGGTGTACATGGATCGGGTTAGCTTGATTTTATATCAAAACCAAATCAAACCAACTATATCAATTTGGAGTGGTTCAATTTTTGTCGGGGTTTTCGGTTTTTTTTTACATGAATGTTAATTTTTTGCTTGGTTATCAAAAAAATCAATTTTATGAATCATGATTTCAAGTTTTAGCTGTCTATTTTATATTTGATTAATAGAACATAACTTTAAAGAGTAATACCGAAGTTACCAAACAAACCAAAACCGAAAAATGAAAATCAAACCAAGCCAAAGTTTATTTTAGTATAGTATTGGTATAATATTTTTAACTGAAAAACAAATATACCGAACTAGAAATTTTGCAAAATTGTAGCAAACCAAACCGATGAACACCCTACATTAAACAGGCACGTATTCTTAGTAATTAAATTATTGTAGCACTCGCGGCCAAATGGAAGACGCGAGAGCAGCAATTGTTTGCACTCAATTGCAATGGAGATTTTGAGAAAGGCTTTAAGAAAATGATAGTATTAGAGGAACTATACACTTTAAATTTATATAGTTGAAGATCATTTTAGCAAAAGGAAAAAAGGGGAGGAGGGGATTATTTATCGATCAATTTATAGTTCCATAAACTAATCCATCATAATCAAATATATTCAAATACTAAAGTAGATTCTCTGCGTCATAAGCTGCCACCAGGATAAGTACAGCCATCGTAACCTAAGAAGAAGAGAGAAAAAAAAGTTAGTGACAAAAATAAAGGGCCGATTAATCAAAGTAGCAAATATGGTAGCTACAGCCTTGCAAAGCAAACTGGAGAAATTATCAATTTGTTCAATATTTTGATAGGGTTGTGTGGAATTGTTAGGGGTTGCAGATAAGATTATGCCGGGATTAAAATACATGGATCGTAATATTGGAAACTAAAACTCCACGGATTGTTTAGTGCTTATAAGTTGTCTGGTTTATTGCATTAACAATAGGACCAATAAACGTTGTATAATCCAAAACATGTGTTTGGTTTTAAACTGTATAAATTTGAATACACATTTGTTTCTAATTTTGACCTTGAGAATACTGATAAGGGATTTGACATAGTCAATCATTGAATTGTTATTCCACATTGGATGTGGTATAAAATTGTATACCAAGATTTAAGTATAATTTTTACCATTATTACCTTTACAGAAATAAAAATGCAAGCAAACAAAGTTCATAACCCCGGTAACCAAGCAAGAGGTAACATATTCGATCAAGTACTGAAATGGTGTTGTGAAGAAGTGTTGGAACAAGACAAGAAGAAACTTACTAGGATTTGTTGAGGTGAGGGCAGCGGTTTGAGAGAAGTCGCAGTTCCAGGGATTCCTGCCAGCAGTTTGGTAAAGAAGATTCATAGCATAAGCAGCATGTGATGCAACAGTATTTGGTTCAAAGCAGGCGCCGCCTGCTTGAATAGGGGTACAGTCAATACCAGCCTGGCTACAGGCATAGTCAAGATTAGCCTGTAATTCAGCATCAGGTGTTCCCGGCTTTGGCATGCACCAACCAGCTCCTGTTGGTTTTGGTGTAGCCGGAGTTACTGGAGTTGTTGGTGTCGTGGGAGTTGTTGCTGGTGCAGGACTCACTGGAGTTACTGGAGCTGTAGGAGTCTAATAAGAGATGCAAAAACAACAAAATAATAAGGAACTTCAGCATGAAATGTATTTCCCGTATAGGCACATGCGTATTATTTGATGTTTGTAACGATGTTAATGTCCTTCATTATATTACTAATGTACTCTATCCCATCTTATTCTAATACATTGATATGTACTACCTCCTATCCATATTTTTTTAGATTTTTGCATACTCCCTAACAGAGGTGGACCCGGGATTTAACGCGATGGGGGCAAAATATTTTATTCAATCAGTGCCCCCTAAAGGCTTTTAGCGTTCAGGGTGCCAAGTAATTTAAATTAACCATTTTCAAAGTATACATATATACATATACAAAATTTCTGCTGAAGTTTACGGAGTCCGGTGACCCCTCAACATAATACATAGGTCCGCCTCTGCTCCTTAAGGAAAATATTTAATAACTTTGGTCAAGAAGTTTGTCTAAACTACCATTTATCTCTCTTAAACATCTAACTTAATTAACATTCCATTAAATAGAAAAGTAACAGTGAAATTGAAAACAATAGTATAAATGCTCTTTGTTTTCTAAAATAGTTACATATTTCGAAGCAGATTAAATTTGCGAAAACTACTTATACTTGGGACTGGACAGAGTACTACTTTAGTCATATTATTCTATGATTTTCAGAAAATAGCATATTGTACTCTTGAAAACCTGAATTTAGGTATAATCTGAGAGAAATTAGTTATTATGTCCTTTGAACCCTTTTTTTTATATATCAAACACGTCCTTGAAACTTGTTGGATGGCAAATAATTGTTCTCACCTGCGCATTTTTTGAGAGGCCAACGTCATAAGTCACAGAAAGATCAGGTTTGAAAAGTCCAAATGAGCGTTCCGAGCCAGGCCCAGGCTTCAAATCCTCATCATAGAGGGCAAATATATAGGTATCAACAGATATGCCAGGCATCAATGGAGTGCCAACCATAGACCTCAAGTGGTTTATCAAGTTACCGTTATAAGCTTTTGCATTATCCACACTCGGGCCTACTTCATTTGGGTCTCCCTTGTATGGCCACCCTGTCTCAGCAACCACAATTTGAACTTCCTTGAATCCCCATGCATTCAGGGCAGAATGTACAGCATCAACCTGCGCTCAAGAATTTCCCCACATTAAAATAAGCAACAAGAGCACAATTACTGATATTGGGAATAGAGGCGGCTATGGTATTGGAGCAGTTGATTCTGGTGAGCAACTAATGGATTATTTATTGATATTGGTACTAGAAGCGGCTAAGATATTGCCGCAGTGGGTTCAACTAACTGTTTTCTTCTCGGATCATATGGATATATACACACACACATACATATGGAAGGAATGAAAGAATAGGAAAAAATTGTGGGTGTACATAATTGAACAAATAAAAACTTGCACTCGAAACTCATTTGTTCGAAATCCTAATCTGCCTCTGACTCGAGAACATGAAAATATAACAAATTGGTACCATTTATGATTTGTCAAAACATAACATGTGCACTATAAATATGCAAATTTATAATATGCTTATTTTACGTTTACTTTGATTTACATAATTGTGATGTTAAATGTTCTTCTGAAAGTAACTATACATTTTACGGAGCTGCACACCCGACTTGGGAAAAAAACTGTTCTTATTTTTAATTCACAGCTAAATATGTCCAAACAGATTAAGAACTAAGAAGATATCACAATGATTTTGTTTATTAAATTGTAGTCCTTGTAGAAACAAGAGTCAAGCTTTCCCATTAAATACACTTGGGAATCAGTAGCTTGTCCATTTATTTCAAAAACATATCCAGCCTGTCATCAACACACAAGAGTCAAGATCAAGAGCACTAGATGCTCTTTAGTCCCATCAAATTGCACAAAAAGGCCAAGGGAATAGAGGTCGTTGATTCAATTATTATTGCCTTACCTATTATCAACCACATATTTATTTCCACTACAGGAAAAAGAAAAGAAACCCATAGTTTTGTAAATTGTGAAAATTTCGACTACTTCTTAATTTGATATAAGAAAATTCATACTCCGTCCACAATTTACCTTTTATTTTGGTCCAAAATAAGTGTCCATTCACATAATCAAGGAATTAATTTTATTTTTTCCAAAATTTGCCCTTATTTACCTATTTCAATGTGTCAAGGTAACAATTAATTAAGGTTAATTTAATGAATACATCTTTTTTTCTCTAGGATTTCGTATTTTCTTAGTGGGTGTGCCTAAGGTAAAATAAAATGACGAAGAATTAACCCAAATAGCCGTTTACCAGACAGCTTAAACTAAAAGTAACCGGTGGATGTATATTGTATGCATAATTTATGTATTATATGTGTATAATTGTGTATGTATAAACTATGTATATGACTAGAAAAAGTAAACAATGAATATGGAAGGCTATTTGTGTAAAGATCCCTAAAATGATCACTTATTGTGGACCGCAAGGAGTATATTTGGAAACTACTATAAAGAAATTAACTGACCTGTGCATCAAACATGTTCATGTATTTGATACCGGATCCTGAGTCGACCCGGCCAGCATTTGGTTGGAAGAGACAGAATGCCAAGGTTTCAGGTCTTGGATCACTCTGATATGCAAAGAATGGGTATGGATTGATCATCAAAGGTGAACCATTTTCCTTGTGAAATTGCAGCAGAGCTTTCAGTGTGTCTCCAAATACTGGACTGAATAACCCGGAAGAAGGCGGGTCGGACTGAGACAAAATGGACATGGCGTGTACCGTTGATACCTTGATTCTCCCACCGAGGGAAGCTGAAGTTTCACGTAGTTAATTCGAGTTCGCAGCACCATTTAGGTTAAAAAATTACCACTAGCACATATTTCAGGACTACTATTATTTAACCATAGTACAATAGCTCCTTCTCAATTAAAATTACCACTACACACGTTGCAAGATAATTACTCCTTTCATTTGTATATAGGTTTAGTTCATTTTGCCCCGAAGAGAATGACAGGATCACTTTTGAAGAATTAACTCAAATATTCGTCCATCTGACCATTTAAATTAAAATAGCCGGTGAAAGTATAATATATGCATAATTTAGGTATTATATGTGTACAATTGTGTATAATTAATGTATAATCTATATATATGACAAAAAAAAGTAAACAATGAATGTGACCCACTATTTGTGTAAAGCTGCTTGTCAACCCACCACTTTTAATAAATCAAATAGTTTCTTTTAACTATAATTTTCTTTGAATTTTTTGAAGAAATAAAAGACTCTTAGACCTTAGGACATACCAAAATTACCTGTAAAACTTGTGATTGAACGTACCACGACTTTTTTATGATTATAAGAGCATGTTACTGAAAAGTTTAAAGTTACAAAAATTCCTAATATAGAAATGTGTTATTCTATCTGAACAAACTAAAAAAGAAAGAACTTCATGTAAAATAGACTAGATTGAGTATGATTATAGATGTGTGACATAAAACATTTGATTGGTACATTTTGTTTTAAAAATTCTATGTCGAATTATAAAAAATTAGATGACTTGACTTCTAAATTTCGCGTAAGAAACAGCAGTCAAGATCTCAAAAACATTATTCAACTACCTACCAGCATTAAGGGCGTTTTGGACATTTTGCATGGCCGGCAAAAGTTGAGGAATAAGGTTCTGATCTCCTGAGGTCACGACTTCATTACCGACAGTAACAACAATAATCTTACTCGCCGGATAATAAGCCAACACATTAGAATTAACCCATTGGCCCGCGAAATTCGGGTCGGATGCAAGCGCCGGTATATCGCCATTAGCAGCGCCGATCACAATTCCAATGCCGGTATTCGCCAACGCTTTTATAATCGCCGGATCCGCCCCATACAACCTCACCTTCTCAATCCTCGTCGACTGAATGAGCTTCACCGTCTCCGTCACCGGCGGGAGGTTATCAGCGAGTTGTCCATAGTTAACGCCGACAAAAGCTTGAGACTCTGAATTTCAAAAGGAATATTTATTAGCGAGTGAATTAATCGTGAGTTAGCTGACTCGGACTGAGTCAACTCAGTATTAAAGAACAAAATCGCATTGGAACTTGTTTTATCATACATACACGTCATTTTCAGATAAAGACAATGAATTTTTATCTGTGTGTGCTGTAACTTGAACAATTTGTGAACAAGTGTTCACCAACTGTGATAACACCGTAAGACAATTGAACTAATACTATAAATCTTTTTAATAATCAAATACACAATTTAAGCAAAATTATACTGTGGATTGATACAGAGGAGAAAAAAAGGAAGAAGCTAAGGTGCTGAAAAGAAGCCAGGCTTTTGCCAGAAAGCATAAAAGTATACATTCTAAGGAAAAGTTGGAAGACGAAAAGTTGATATTCACGTCTTAATCAGTGAAATAATTGTTAAAAAAAAATAAAAGTGAAAATACCTGCGGAAGAAAGAGATTGCAATAAAACAAGGAAAATAAGGAAGAAACTCGAAAGCTTTTGTGTAGCCATTGAAGAGGAAGAAGAAGTAGAAAGATTTTTAACGGTAAAATGTGAGATTTATGGTATTCGAAATCGAAAGTAGTATGAGAAAGTTTGGCCTCGTGGGGGTGGGGTAGGTGGATGTGGGGTGAGCTTATTTGTCAGTATAGAGAAAGTAGTGAAGTAGATTTAAGGAGTGAGGTTAGAGGGAATGAACGTGGGTGCAGGGTTCAGTACACTAGTACAGAACAGAGACACAGTTTCGGTGTGTTTTCGTTTAGGTCTTGGTCTTAGTAATATACGGCTCCGTTAGTCAATTTTTATATTACATTGTTTGACGTTTGGTGTGAAACCATGAGATAATTTGTCATATCTTTTGCTTTCACCTCCATATACCCGATTCATACGCGTGAAATTATGGTGATTAAATGCAAAGGCGAATTTATGATTTCTAAATTATGAGTGCACCATTAAAGAATAAGGAAAAGAAAATATTAAGTGAAATCGATTCCTAATTTTCTATTACTTTGATAAATAACTTAACCTTCAACCTTCAACCTTCAACCAAATGTGACATTCAACCTTTTTGGAACATGAGTGCCAATAAATAAGTAGTAAATTAACTTTAGAAAATGTATATATAAAATACGTAATTTAACGGTGATTGCATGGGCTCACATGCACCTTTATTTTGGGTTAAACCTGCCCCTACTAAATATGGTAAAAGAAGAAGAGATAGACTTAAAAGTAATTTCGAACGACTTATAATTTCGTGAAATTCATGCAAATTACCCAATGTAAAATAGGGTACATTAAAAGAAGAGAAATTTTCATAAAGCACTAGTAATTAGCCATCTATAGATATCATTTGCTATATTACAGATTATAGATACCTTTTGTGTTGTTATAAGATGTATTTGATGTATTTAAGCTATTGTATTCATGAATACAGTAGCAAAAATAGGCGTGAATCAGGGAAGTCCAGCTAATCAGTTGTTGTATTCGAGTGTATTCGACTGTATTCATGGAGTGAAACATGGGATTACAGCTGGACGGATTATTGTATTCGACTGTATTCACGGCGTTAAATAGGGGATTACACTGTTTTTAAAACGGAAAGTGAATCAATTAGTAACATAATAGACTCCTGATATAACTCAACAAACTCAATTATAACACACAAATTTTGTATTTTCAATTATAAAAAGATTCTCAACCGAAAAATACCCCAAAAACATAGCAATCTTCAGAGAAATTGTATAATACATCTTAATACATAAATTATATTAATTAAAAAAAATATATGAATACATTCATGGCATATAACGAGACAGTAAAAATAATGAAATACATATACAACGGGATACATTGAAATACAATAAAAAAAAAAGACAGTGAATACAATAAAATACATTGAATTACAATGAAAAAAACGACAATGAATACATGAAAATACAGCGTGATACATTGAAAATACATTGAAATATATTAACAGAAAATCAAGTTGCTCAGCCCCAAACTCCGTCGTCTTTGTTCAAGAACAAACCCTAATTTCCGGCGAATCCGTCGTCGAGCAACGAAATAATCCACCTAGTATCCGGTCTACTATATCGTCTTCCACTTCAATTGAGGCCTTGTCATCGATTACCATTGAGAAATCCGTGCTTATTGTTTTCTTGATCTCATGTCAAGCAAAGGGATATTCAATCGCTTGAATTCTATGGTATCGTCCACTGAACTGACGAGTTCATGAGGAACTGATGCAACTGAGAATTGCTTGTTTTCAAGGTCGTGTTCTTCTTCGTTCTCAACAATTAGATCAGTCAAATTGGAATGTGAAAGATCTGAAACTATATGCCCACCGTAGCTGCATAAAAGGCGGACCTTGGTGGTGGAAGTGGGAAGAGGTGGCAGGTCCAAGAGGGAATCCGTGGTGGTAGACGGCGGAGGTGGGTCAATATAGGCGTTAATGGTGGCGGGGGATCTGGTATGTTAGGGCACAAAGCGTGAGAGAGGAAGTATGTGATTTTATTTACACTGAGAAATTATAATGGGATGGGGGAAGAGAATGGGATGTATCAAAGTAGAGAGAGAAAGAAAATAGTGTAACTGATTAGCGTATTTAGTGGCTTAGGCTAGGAGGTAACCAAAATTAAATATTTTGCTATAAACCTTAAAAGGTATCTATAGAATATATTTTTTTTTAAATGGTATTTATTTAAAATAAATAAGGTGTTAACCTTTGCTATAGGAGATAAAAATTCCTTAAAAGAACGACTATACACATACAATACGAATTAGTTGGAATCAAGTTTCAATCGTATTAGTACTTTTACTACAATTAAGTTCAATGTGTGTAAGGAGATGTTAAACCTTTTTACAATTTTTTTGAATGTCAGTAGAAAATGTAGGCAATTTTTAGTGTTAGAGAACTAAATTTTTATAATATTGAATTGAGATGGGATTAAATGGAGAATCATGAATAATAAATCATACAATAAACTTCAACTTATTTGAGATTGAAGCGTAACAGTTGTTATTGCTGCATTTGCGTCTTAGTCATAATATAATATAAAATATTGATTTTATTTATATGCTTTATAGTGGAAGAAAGTATTACTGTATCACAATAGAAATGAAAAGTCAGTTTTAGATAACATAATTTATGAATTTGAATTTTCAAAATATAAAAATTATTGAGAATAATATAATTAACTATTGGTGAAATGCTGAATATATTTGGATATTTGACGGGAAAATGCGTAATTCAAAGGGTAGGAGAATTATGTCTAATAAAGAGACGGTTACCGGCTTTTTTACTAGGGATTCAATTACTTGTTACTTGTACAAGCAAAGGCAGACAACGATAGGTAAGAAGGCCAAAATTTTACGGTATAGCCAGTTTTCGGACTGGTCAATCAATAATAGCCAGCGTTTACCAAGTCAATAAAAATAGCCACTGCTTTGCTGCAATAGAGACCGGTCCAGCATAATATACTGGAGTTCGGTGCACTTGTGTATGAACTCCAGCATATTATGCTGGACCGGTATACTTTGCTGGCTCCAGTATAATATACTGGAGTTTGGAGCACCAGTGCTCCAGTCTCCAGTATATTATACTGGACCATTATACTTGCTGGAACTCCAGTATATTATGCTGGAGTTCTACTGTATTTATGCTGGAACTCCATCATATTATGCTGAAGTTCCAGCATACTATCCTGGAACTCCAGTATAATATGTTGGAGTTCAAGTATACTTATGCTGGATTTCCAGCATAATATACTGGATTTTCCGGGTTTTGAACAGTGTTTTCGCTCAAATTTATCTTTACATAAAAAGTGTCTAAATTTCGATTACTTTTGAAATTGGGCTATTTTTGAACGACTAGTTGTAAATCCGGCTATTTTTAAAAATCACCCGGTAAGAAGGCGTGCTGGGATTAAAATAGTAAAAATCTCAACTTAGGAATTAGAGCCCTAATGTTGGCAAAAAGGCGACTAGGGAATGGAGGCCCTATGTGTAAAATCTCAACTTAGGGATTGGAGCCCTAATGTTGGCAAAAAGGCGACTAGGGAATGGAGGCCCTATGTCTAAATATCACAACTCTGGGATTGGAGCCCTAATGTTGGCAAAGGGCGACTAGGGAATGGAGGCCCTTTGCCTAAAAAATCTCAACTCAGGGATTGGAGCCCTAATGTTGGCAAAAAGGCGACTAAGGAATGGAGGCCCTGTGTCTAAAATCTCAACTTAGGGTTGGAGCCCTAATGTTGGCAAAAGGCGACTAGGGAATGGAGGCCCTATGTCTATAAAATCTCAATTCAAGGATTGGAGTCATAATGTTAGCAAAAAGGCGACTAGGGAATGNTAAAATCTTAACTCAGAAATTGGGACCCTAATGTTGGAAAAAAGGCGACTAGGGAATGGAGACCCACCTAAAATCTCAACTTAGGGATTGGAGCCCTAATCTTGGAAAAAAGGCGACTAGGGAATGGAGGCCCTATGTCTAAAATCTCAACTTAGGGGTTGGAGCCCTAATGTTGGCAAAAGGCGACTAGGGAATGTTGGACCTGTGTCTAAAATTTCAACTCACGGATTGGAGCCCTAATGTTGGAAAAAAGGCGACTAGGGAATGGAGGCCCTATGTCTAAAATCTCAACATAGGGATTGGAGCCCTAATGTTGGCAAAAAAGGCGACTAGGGAATGGAGGCCCTATGTGCCCTAATGTTGGCAAAAAAGGCGACTAGGGAATGGAGGCCCTATGTCTAAAAAATCTCAACTCAGGGATTGGTGCCCTAATGTTGGCAAAAAAGGCGACTAGGGAATGGAGGCCCTATGTGCCCTAATGTTGGCAAAAAAGGCGACTAGGGAATGGAGGCCCTATGTCTAAAAATGTCAACTTAAGGATTGAAGCCCTAATGTTGGAAAAAAGGCGACTAGGTAATGGAGGCCCTATGTCTAAAAATGTCAACTCAGGGATTGGAGCCCTAATGTTGGCAAAAAGGCGACTAGGGAATGGAGGCCCTGTGTCTAAAATCTCAACTTAGGGTTTGAGCCCTAATGTTGGCAAAAAAGGCGACTAGGTAATGGAGGCCCTATGTGTAAAATCTCAACTTAGGGATTGGAGCCCTAATGTTGGCAAAAGGCGACTAGGGAATG